GCCCAGCCCTGGGATATACGCTGGGGGGGGCGTCCATCCTCGATAGGGGTTCGTCCGAATGACCCCCTTGGAGTGCATCCCAGGGTATCCCTCCTTTTCTGAGCGGCTCCATTTTCGTCGAAAAGTCGGGGGTGGGGGGGGGGGACAAATCGGCTGCGATCCTCCTCCTCCACCCTCGCGGACGTGGAAAGAGTACCCGGCCACTCCAGCCCCAGCACAACATCTGTACTGAACGCCACGCACGCCCCTACTCCACCTGGAGGTCGCCGGAATGGCGCGAGCCAACTGAGCAGGTGGGGGTCGTCGCAGCTCCTTCACTCCTGGCGCTCTCGCCCGGCTGCGGGCCCCATGGGGCCCTCGCAGGCCAGTCCGGCAGGAGAGACATGCTGCAGGAAAAGGTGCTCTGGCTGCAGGTGCTCTGGATGCTGCACCCCGTTTCCACGACGTCGGATCTCAGGGCAGACCTCGGCGGCCCGCACAAGGGGGGTTGCGCGAGAGGGGCGACCTTCTGAGAAGGCGGGGAGAGGCTTCCAAAAATAAGGCAGGTGATCTCTCAAAAGCCATCCTGGTTTCTTCGAAGGCCCCCGCCTTCTAAGAAACACCCCGCCGTCTGAGAAGGACCTCTCTCTGGCGCCGCCCACTTGCGCACGCTGGCAAAGATGGGATCGGAGGTTCGCATCATTTTTTCTACCGCATCATTTTTTATAGTTGCTCCTCTCAGACTTGATCCTGCTACGCCGGGATCGAGAACACTCGGCTCCACATTGCGTCGCAAGGTCATTGCTTCGGCGATTCGGCGCGATCATCCGACCCCATCTGTTCTAGTCTTAGGTCGGGCATGTCCCCCTACAGGCGGATTTCGGGCGAAAAACGGAAAAATGCCCCCCAAAAAAGAATCCAAACATAAACAACAAACATCGTCCCCTGACTAGCTTTGATAGTTTTGAATATTCCTCCTGTCGATGGACAGGCCCGACTTAACTCTAGCCCAATCTGGGCGGCCTGGGCCGAGCCACCCCATCCCCAAAGTGGCGCGCGGCAGCGAAGATCGACACCACCCACCACCACCGCGAGGAGCCAGGGAGAGCTCTCCTGGCGTCAGGTCGGGCAGGTCCCCCTGCAGGCAAATGTGGGCCGAACCATAAAACATTGACCAACAAAAAACCAAAAGGGTCAAGACAACCGCGGGCCCCCTTGCGGGGCCATCAGGCTGCGAGGCTGAAGGTTGCTGCTCCCTGCACCAGTTCCAGTTTCCAGTGTTACAGTGCTGCTTTCTGCTTCCTACTATACATGGTTACTGTCCGCGCGAGGGGGGGGAGCCGAAAAGGACCCTGGTTAGCGTCCCCCGGGAGGGTTCTCAGAATTTCTGGAGGGGCGTGGGACACGTAAAAATACGTCAGTTTCGTGCCCTCCAAGCCAAAATCCCTCGCAGATTACATTGTTGTAATCGCGCCCCCGAGGCCACGCTCAATTGTAAATTACGCCGCATTCGCGTCTCCGAGGCCACGATCCCTCGTAATTGACACAACTCGAGGCCACGATCCCTCGTAATTTACGCCACATTCGCGCCCCCGAAGCCACGATCCCATATAATTTACATAATGTTCGCGCTCCCGAGGCCACGATCCCATGTAAATTGCCACAAATTCGCGCCCCTGACGCCACGATCCCTTGTAATTACGCAGCGGGCGCGCCCCGGAGGCCACGAATCCGCCTTGCGGAGGCTGCCGAAAAGGCGCTCCCCCTTTCCAAAGCAGAAAAACGGCAATTTTATTGGGATATGTGCTCCGCTGGTATTCTTTTGCCCCCCCCCGTTTCTGGAAAATTTGGCGGTGGGTTCCACACTCACCCCCCCAGGCCACGATCCCTCATAAGTTACGCCACATTTGCGCCCCCGAGGCCACGATCCTGCGTGAATTACACCACATTCGCGCCCCCGGGACAACGATCCCTCGTAAATTACGCCGCCGTCGCGCCCCCCAGGCCACGATCCCTTGCAAATTACGCCACATTCGCGTCCCAGAGGCCACGATCCCCAGCAAATTACACCAAATTCGCGCGCACACCCCCACGCTACGAATCCACCTCGCAAAAGCTGCCCAAAGGCGCCACTCCTTCTCCAGAGCAGAAAAAATAACCTTCCCAGAGATTGCCTGAAGCAATCCCCAGCCGTTCCCAGAGCGCTTCCACTGAACAACTGGAGGAAAATGCCGAGAAGCCAACAAAGCGTTCAACAACAACTTCAACATCTCAATCTGTTTTGCTCATCGCCAGCCGCCCTATCATGACGTTCCCGAATGTCATCAAGACGGCGCCCGAACATCCCAATATAGCTCTGATGTATCCCATTCTGATAGAGAGGGGGCCGGCGGCAGGGGGCGAAGCCCTTACGGCAGGTTCGTGTCGTGCCGACCCCAGCGTTGGTCTTTGACACCGCAGGGAGCGTTCAACCTTGAACGATCGGCCGCTGCCGCAACGTCCGATCGTTCAACATCGATCGATTCTGGGTCGCCGGCGGCGTTCGACCTTGAACGTCCGCGCTGGGGTCGCCGCTGGTCGACACGACGCAAACCTACCGTACCGATCATTTGCATACGCAGTCGTCCCCTGATCCTGTTTTGGCTCTTTGGGGACACTCCGCCTGTGGGAGGGACGTGCCCAACTTCCGGAGGGGCATCCTGGGCCTCCTCGCTCCCCGCTGGCGATGGTGCCGCCGCGGGGGCCCCCCAGGGGCCCAATCGGCGTGCTGCTCCCCTCGCCCCTCGCCCGAGAAAGGCAGCGCACGCCGACAGCAGCACGCCGACGGGGCCCTGGGGCCCCTCGCGGCGGCATGACACTGACACGTGGCGGCGCGCAGGAAGGGGGTGGGGGGAGGGGGGGGGGGGGAGATGCTTCTTAGAAGAAGGCTGCTCATCAGAAGGCGCGGGGCTCGCATCTGCAGACCAGGGCCCCGCGCCTCTCCGAGAAGCAGCCGCCCTCCAGGAAGCCTTCCCCCCTCCACCCCGCCCCTCCTCTGCGCGCGGCCGAGACTCTCTTCCGCCCCCCCCCCCCGAGCTCTTCCGCCCTCCGACCAGACGTCCTGCGGCAAGAGAGGCACCGGGACGGCCAGCCTTCTTCCCGGTGCGGAGCCTCTGTTGAGGCCAGCTTCGGGCCCCACGGGGCCACAGAACGACGCGGCAGGGGAGCTCCTCGATGTCCGGCGGCATCTCGCATCCTTCCCGCCTCGAGCAGGCTCCACCCCCCGGGGCCGCGCTCAGCACACAGAAACCACGCCCCCGGGAGGGCACTCCGTATACCACACCCACGACCAGGACCCTCGCCCAACCCCGGTGCTTCTCGGGTACAGTGTGCAGCTTTCCCGGCGGAGCAAACCAGCCCCGGGGAATGGCCCACGTGTCGAAAAAGCAGAGCCTGGCTCGTCGCCCCGGAGAGCCCGACCACGGGGCGAATGACAGCCGGGGGCAAGGCCAATGTGGGAGCCCACACGCACGGGTGCCGAGGGCACGGCAGAGGCGACAGCGTCGCACCAAGGCAGTAGGACAGCGTCGCACCGAGGGCACGGCCTAGGGCGACGACATCTATTTATATCCACCGCTCCCTGGCCAAGCCGATCCTGAACCCAGCAGCGGTGTATACGCCACGCCCTCTTATTCGCGATAGCGGTCGTGATCGGGGGAGAGGGGGTGAGCTCGTCCCCCCAAATCACATCACGGCAGGGTGGCACCGGAAATCTCAGGAAATCCTCAAAGAATCCGTCGGAACTATTTCCCTCTGTGGGCAAAATGAAATGACGTGACCCCGGGGGGGGGAGGGAGAGGGCCGATCACGGCCGTTATCGCTTAGATCTTGAACAGGAACAGGCTCCTGGCTTGGCCAGGAGGGCGTATACACAGCTCCTGGGCTCGGGATGGGCCTGCACAGGGGGGCAGTGGAGATGTGTAGATCTCGTCGTCCGACGGAAGAGGTGACAGCGTCGCACCGAGGCGACAGCGTCGCACTAACACACAACGCAATCTGCACACCGGCGCCAGCCCCAACAACCATCAGGGCAACAGTCGTGATACGTGTGAGCCGTTGACACGCGCGTGCAAGGCCGAGCGGGACAGAGCCTAGGAAAACTGCAAGGTAAGCTCAGTCCCAGCATTTGGATAGCAAGAAACAGCACAAGAGGCGCAGACACTCAGGGCTTGACTACGAGAGAGCCAAAGCATACCGATCCCGCTTCGGGGACGTACTGACCCAGGTCTATGCAAACACGGGTCAGTCAAGCTTTGCAAGATCCTGCAAGATCCTGCAATATCCTGCACGCAAGCCCGGGTCAGTACACCCCTGGCCCTGCAAGACCCTGCAAGATCCTGCACTCTGGCTGACTCCCGTTTGCATTGATCCCCGTCCCTTGCGCCCCGACCGCTCCTCTCTGGACCTCTTCGGGGCCGCATCCGCCAAGGCCGATCCGGCCTCGACGAGGGACCCCCAGGAGGTCCAAGAAGGCGAAACCGAAGAAGTGGCATGTGTACCTGTCTGTCTAGGACGAAGCCAGGACGAAGACAAAATCTGGTGAGGACAAGTCGGGAATCTCTCTGAGATCCAGCGGCTCGGGAACGTTCTGGAACGGACTTATCCTCGTCTGAGCCCCGTCCAGCAATATGACCTGTTCCGCCCCAAAAACTACATAAACCGCTCGGCTCTTGCTGTGCCGCGTTGGCCGTCTGCGGCGGCTCCCCAGGCAGCCCGGCGTCTCCGAGCCTGGGTCGAGAAAGCGCGGCTTCTTGTCCAGCCGCGTGCGTGGTATCTACACGAAAATGCGTCGCCATACATGCGCACGCAGCTCGCCTGGCGCGTCATGCTGGATCATGACCAGCGGTTGCCACAGCGCTGCGGAGGAGTGCTGAAACAGGTGCAGGCAACCGCATGCACACGACGGGCGAGGAGGAGGGGAAGACGTGGCGGGGAGAGGAACGCTCTCGCAGTCGGGGCACGCGTGTGCAAGCCGCGGACTCTCAGAAGATGATGAACATCTGTCCAGGCTTGTTCAGGCCAATCCCGCCAACGAACTCGTCCATGTCGAGAGCATCGTCCCCGTCTACATCAAACACACTGAACAATCTAACGACATTCTCTTCACTGAGACCTAACCTCATAGTCTCAACCATCTTCGAGAACTCGCGGAAGTCCAGCAAATTGTTGAAGTCAGCGTCGAACGTCTTGAACAGAATCTTCAAATCGTCCTCTGTGTAGCCCCACTGGCTCAAGCGTCGGTGTATCCTTCCGATTGCTAGGATGCGGACGCGATTCTTCCACGTCTCAAGGAATGCCCCGCCGACAATCGCAATGGGCATCGCCATAAAGAGCAACCCACAGAAGATCAGAACCGAGGTGCATAACCGCCCCAGGTCGGTAACTGGGTACAGGTCTCCGTAACCAACCGTCGAGATTGTAACAACGACAAACCACATTGCATGGGGCATCGATATAATGTTGGTGCGCGGCTCTATAACGTAAAAAGCACTTGAGAAAATCACGATCGTCAGAGAGAGCATATACATAGGTACTGCCATGGAGGGAGTTGCGACTTTGAGCGTGTGCCAGAGCAAAACGAAATTCGGTATGCTGCGAAGAGCTTTGATCATTCGCATGACTGGAACAACGCACAGCAAAATATCTTCTCCAGTGGTAATGTCACCACCGTCGTCGTCTTGTATTGACTTGTAGACAACGCACCGGAGGATGAATGGCCCAATGATGGCGATATCGAGGAGATTGTAGAAGCCGAGGAAGAAATTCTTGGAACTTGGGCACACAGCAAACCTCACGCACAGCTCGACCATAAACAGAGCATCGGTGACGGTGGATATCCAGAAGTAGGCCTCGTTCGAGAGAGGCTTCTCGGGGAGGGTTTGCAGCACGGGGATCAGACAGGTAAGGAGTATGAAAACACACGCCACATTCTGGTACACCGTTGCCACCCAAGTTGTCTCCGGCTCCTCGAAGAAAGTCCACACCGTCTCGGCCGTCTCACTGCGATTCGCCACCTTGTGCCAGAAGCTGGGCGCGAGCACACTTAGCCCCTTCGTGACGCCCTTGCGCATGGATGATCTGATGCCCGTCGTCCCCCCTTGGAAGAAGCTGCCCATCATGCTTCCTCGAAACAGACCTCGATCTACGGACCCTGTACCTAAATTTCCCGACCTGCTGACCGACTCAATCTCCGGATCGCCAAAAATCTCGTCGTGCATAGTGCTCGCTCTGCGGATCTGCCGCACCAGGATGTCCGCGGCGCGCTTCTCCTTCTTGAGCTCGCCATCGCTGTCGCTGTCCGCATTCCCCACCCGCGGGACGCTGGACGCAAAGGACGTTGTCCTCGACACAAAGGACGCTTGCCTCTCTCGGCGGACATTATTGGGCAACGTCTCCTCGCCCTGCGTGCGCACCACACGAACTTCTCCGTGGTTCCTCTCGTTCGATGGCCGCGACGCGGACCCGTCGCTGTTCCGGTCGTTCATTTGACGCGCCATGGCAGCAGGTCCCACGGACTCGTCAGACGCCTGGCGCAACATCAGATGTCGTGAAGCACGCTGCTTCTCGGTCTTATAGTTCAGACCATCATCACACAGGTCGTATATCGAGCCAATACGTCTTTCTTGCACCTTGATGCTGGCCCTCGCCCTCTTGTAGTTTAGCCTCCCCTGCGGCTCGCTGACAGCATCCTCCGACAGCGTGTGCTGGGTGCAGGCGTGCGCACCTTGCTCCTTGAGCATATGCAGATGCATGGTCTCCAGCTTCCTTGGGGAAACCCAAATGTACCGATACCGCCACTCTACGGACCTCTCCTGGGGTGCGTTCTGACCAGGATTTCGAGGCGCGTCCAGCGGTGGCGACGATGGCCCCCCAGGAGGCCCCAAAATCTGGAGAAACAAAAAAAAACGAGGAGGGAAGGGCAGCGGTATTATGGGTACCTTTTTCCCTCCTCCCACTTCCTCTCGAGCTTCTCCAGGCCCTCCTCCAGCAGCCGCTCGAGCCTGGCAAGCGGGGGCGCA